TAATATAGGGGCCTGCATCGTAAGGTTTGGGCTACATTATACTGTAACCATAACCAGGAACCCCAAAGCCCTTTTCTGACCCCTACATGAAACGTAAGCCCTCAACCCTAGACCCCTAAACCCAACACCCCACTTTTCCTAAACCCTAAACCCTAAACCCCCCCCCCAAAAAAACTATATTCCTTACTTTGGCATTATTGGGCTCCTCTTGGTCTGAGGCCCTTCCACTTGCACGGTAGACAGCCGCCAACACCAAAAATAGCATGCAAAGGTCGGGCCCTTCCGGTTGTAGGGTGCGGCATTTCGGGGTTTACCCTAAACCCTAAACCCTAAACCCTAAACCCTAAACCCTAAACCCTAGGTGGGTTAGGGTTGGGGTTTAGGGTTTAGGGGATTCTCCCTGGGCTGCAAGGCTGCTTGAGCCGGAGATGTGTTTAACATCCAGGTCCCTCCTTCAACCTTCGGGACGAAATTGACCCTAAAAGGGTTTAAGGTTCATATACCATGTACGGATTCAGAGTATATGGGAATAAGGCCCCTAAAAGGGTTTTAAGGTTCATATACCATGTAGGGGTTCATAGTATATGGGAATGAGGTCCCTACTTTTAAGGGTCATGTGGTCCTCATGCAACCGATCTTGCAACTCAGAGAAATCAGAAGCCCAGAGTCTGAAAACTGGTGATGGCCATCGGTAGGGTTTGGAGTTTCGGGTTTGGGGTGCAGGGTTTAGGGTTTATAGGGTTTAGGGCTTATCGGGTTTCGGGTTTAGGGTTTCGGGTTTGGGGGTTTATAGGGTTTAGGGTTTATAGGGTTTAGGGCTTATAGGGTTTAGGATTTAGGGTTTACGGTCTAGGGTTTAGGGTTTAGGGTTTATAGGGTTTAGGGCTTATAGCGTTTAGGGTTTCAGGGTTTCGAGAATTCTGGGTTTGGGTTGGGTGGGGATCGCAGGGTTCGGGAGTCTAACCCAATGACTCTCAGGGTTTAGGGCTCAGGGACCCGAGTGTACGATCCCAAGTACTCCAAGCAGTGCCACAAACATTTTATCACATGAAGCACCTGACTGCAGTCCATTTTCATGCGATCCTCGTTTATTGGGAATAGCAGTATTCTGTTGACTTCGCCGTCGCACCATGCCATGATATACCCTAGACCTGAAATGCCTAAATCCTAACCCTCAACAGGAGACAGGCAGGACGCACAGGCCGCCCCTGCAGCGGCCTCAGTGCAGATGCTAAGCTCTGTACATTTGACCATTCTTGCGTGGCATTTCCTTTTCTTGCCTGGCACATAATATGTCTAATGCTACCAGTAGCATAGGCTTGTGGAAGTTTCGATGCGCAAGCCCGAACTAAACCCAAAGCCTCAAGTGGGTAGTTCTCGAGATTCGTGCCCCTTTGTAGGTCACCATGTCTCAAAAGGGCCTCAAAACGGACCCTAATTTAGAGAACTAAACCCAAGTACAGCCCACACTTCCTGAGGCCCGCCCCCTCGGGCTATCGGGGCTTCGCCGTCGCTTTGCGAAGGGCCAGAAGCTCTCGATGGCACACCGGCCACGCTTCGATGATCGTGGCGATAATACTAACAGTTGTGCTGGTGGTGACGCTCATGCTCATGAACTCTAGGAATCCAGTTGCCTACATCACGCGCACGTTTGTGCTTCGAGTCTCTAAACCGTAAACCCTCAACATCTGATGCTGGCGTACGGCTCCTGCCCTCAACCCGAAAACAATAACCCTAAACCCTAAACCCTTAAGACCCTAAACCCTAAAGCCTGAAAACAATTTGGGCCATCTTCAGGAGGTACAACGGCCGAGTGACTCTTGAAGTTCTTTCGAACCTTTCGGTCATACTATAGGGGCCTTATAATAGTTACCTATAGTAGCTTGGGGGGTCCTTGTTATGACTGTAGTATAATGAGCCACAAAACTCTGTTCTAATTATCAAGGCCCCTACATAACCTACTTTGAGAGCCACGTTTGGGGTGCAGGGTTCAGGGGTTTAGGGTTTAGGGGTTCATAGGTTTAGGGTTTCGTGGCTTAGGGGCGCTTTAGGTGTTAGTTTAGGTTAGGGGTTCAAGGGTTAAGGGTTTAGGGATTCGCCTTAGGATTTTCATAGACAATAATGATGCTAAACCCTAAACCCTAAACCCTAAACCCTAAACCCTAAACCCTAAACCCTAAACTCTACTCTGAATCATAAGCCCCACACCATTGGTCTGAAAGCACTACCCGCCCACATGAAACCTACCTCAAAGCACTATCCTAGTTCAAGGGGCCTTTGAGATTACCTCGATGGCGACGACGATATCTTTCAAGGAGGGAGAAAGGATTGCAGTTTGCATGGCGGTAAAACAGTTTGGAGTGTAGGGCCTTAGCTTACAGAATAGGACGTGAGGGCGGTGTGCGTTTGCGATGAATGAGTTTTATGTGGATTATGAACGCAAACTGCACTTGCGACGACTAGGTGTAGTGCCAGGGGATCAAGTTGAGGCTGCGCGACC